CTTAGAAGTGTGCAGTCCGGTGATGTGAGTGATGATCTTCAGGTCATCCCTGGGTATAATGACACACTTGCCAGAAACACAGTCACTCTCGGGCATATGTTCGGGCCAGGCCAAAAACAGCTCGAACCCGGCCGTGCTCTAATGGACCAGTGTCGTAGAATGTTTAGCGCCTAGGATTAATTTTGTCAGGGAATCTGTCGCAAACAAGACCAATGTCTTGGCCTCTATGCAAAATGATTCGATCATTCTAAGCTGAGAGAAATTTCGTTTTGCGAACTGAGCTACCATAATTTTACCAGTTATTTTGAGCAGCAAGCAACCTTGAGAGAACATCTAACAAAAGTTCACAATATCCCATGCATTTAACCGTCCCAGGCTAACATTTGTCAGGACTGCCACTCGAGATCTAGATATATCTTATCGCAAAATTTCACGCCCTACTATCAGCTTCTACGTATTATTATACATTGAACTCACTATCCCTTTTCTGATTGGTCGAAAGCGTCGAAATCAGCGCCTGTGACGTCATCTCTGCATTCGGTCATTCGGTTTTTGTGATATCCAGAATAATCAAGGTCTCGGTAAGGGTTATCAGCCGAAACGGAAGGCTGAGGCTGATAACTCCTACCTCGACCTAGTATTCTGGATATCACAAAAACCTCATCCAATAATTGTTTATTATCGTCACAGGATGCATTTCATATAGCCTTGATTAGAATGTTGTGCGAAGTAATAAATCTGCAATGGACCAGCAGTCCTTCAAGTGAAACATGACGGCACTTTTTTTTTTTTCGATTCACACAAATACTCATGGCCTAGGTTCACTGTAAATAAGCCGTGATGTTCAGGCTGTAATAATACCAGCGCTCATGAACACGGAACAACTTTGACAGTTGTGATGGCAACACGATACCGCAAGAGTTGGTCGTACTAGATATGAGTGGTCTGCCTAACAAATGTAAACCACCGCGAAGTGGGAATCCGTTTTGATTAATCAATACACTTACAAACGGAACTGGACAACAAGAAGTCCTGATTACCAGTTAGGAAAACAAAATTGAGAAAAGAAGCCGAACATTTAACTTTTTGATGAATAAAAGTAGTAGAATTGTCATCGAGATCTCACCATTTGACAGCATTTGAAAACTTTTCAGTCGAAAGGACTACTCCATTTCAATTCCCACCGAACAGGCTGTGTATCTCATCAAACTTCCAGTGGAAAGGCCCCTTCAAATTAATTCGTTTCCTACTGGAAAAACCGGTTTTCCTATAAAAATAAAAAGCACCTATGATTGTTACCGCCAACATGAACTTGACTCGTTTCTTTTTTTTTTGGCTCGTTGCACGAAATTGCGAAAAGGCTGCCAAAGATCTGGTATTAATTTGTTGACGCTGAAACTCAACTACCTTTTGTATTCCTCTTCTTCCTGGAACATTCCTAAAACTATCTATTGTCAGAGTACTCGCTTTGGACTAGCGAAACAAGGTTCGAACAAAGCGTAGCAGTCTATGGAAGAGCTGCCTCGCCTGACTGTGAAATTCCCTTTTGTGCCAGTTGGCTCTTGAGTCGATCAAGATATCCTGGGTCCGGATAGCCGCACCTAAAAAGAGAAAAATATGTTTTAACTAAGTAAACCTCTCGCTAGCCTTCTAACCTATTGCGTTCACGGCCACGCTGAGAAATGGATATTAAATTATCACGTCGGTAGATTTCTCTGGTAACTGGGAAATCGTAACTCAGCAATGGGCAGTGACTTTAAGGTAAATAATTCGAGGCGACAAGAGCCGTTCATTGTTGTAAATTCACGCATAAAATTCTTATCCTCCACTTCATCTCTCTNCCTCTATTCTTTTCGTGCCGCTTAAAACGGAGCTAGGATTAATGTCTCACTCCCTTATTTACCAGCAGCTTACAACTAGTTTACCTCTCATTGCAGTAAATATATATACGTTTGTAACATGTGACAGCAAACTGAGATCAGCTTTTACATCTGTCCTTTTATTGACGAAGTTCATTGTACAATTGTCAGTACACAACTTGCTTATTGACAGCTAGTTATGAAACAATTCATCGTCAGTAAGAGGTGAGATCTATGAACATACTGATTTAACAGTACTTGGTACGCAAATAGTTAAATGGGTAACACATACCTGGATGGCCATACACTTATACTCGTTTTCAGTTCGACACCGTTAGATAAGACGGTATTGTCTTCTCCAATGGTAAATAACAATCGTCCATCAAACGCCGTTCTCAGCAGGCTGCACAATTTCTGCCCTTCCGCGTTATCAGGAAGGTAGGCGTTACAGAAGAAGCACCAGTAGGGTACCCCCGGATTGGGATGCTCCGGACCTGTAATAAAGGTACACTCAGTACACTTACAATGAAATGCATAAGACAGCTACAAAGGTATCAGATCAGCAGTACCTTGAATGCCTCTGTCAAAGTTGAAGCGAATCACTATGGTTCCACAGTCTTCGTGCCCCGGGAGAGAATGATCTGCATCAGTCCCATAGGTCATGTGCCCAGTTGGTTGGTTTCCTTCACAAATCACATCCTGTCCGCACTCTACACATACCCCTTTTATCTGGTTTTTACAGGGCTTGCAGACGTAGTGACCACATAGTGATAGGTAAGCCACAAAGGCGTATTCCGAGCACCTACAGCACTTGATAAATGTTGGCGGCTTGACTGAACAGGATGAAAGATAATATAAGTCAAGTTAGTGTTGATTAAGAAAAACATTTAGGGTTGCAGCATGCACTAATGTTAAACCATCTTACACCCGGTGAACCCACGCTGTATTCATCACATTTGCTTAGCACCTACGTTATCTTTCATTTCATTTAGTTTTTGATCAAGAGAAAAAGTTGGAACAAATCCACATTTTTTTTTTAATCCACTGCTAGATAACGAGCCTAGTATGGGGCTAGCATTAATACAGTGAAATCCCGATTTTCGAACCTCTAAGGAAACCGACAATTGGTTCGGTTTTACAGTGAAACAAACCCAACAGAGGGAAACAGGTTTTCAGACGTTTTTATTAATCGAAGGGTTCAAAAAACGCGGCATTCCACAAAACAAGTCGCCGTTTTTCTCAGTTAATTGGCTACTATTGGTAATACTCAGCTACTTGTTAAAGAAATATACTCTGGAAATTCAAAAACGGACACGCTCAAATTTATTTAACCTTCTGATCTGATCTCAATCTATAAATGTTATTACAGAAAATTGAAGAAAGAAGTTTCTTGATTCTTTTAAAATGATAAAAATTGCAGAGTATTACAATTGCCAGCTTTTCCGTGTTTTATCATTTAACTATTGCCTACAGGCAATAGATAAATGGTAATTGTATAGCGGAACCCAGTTCCCTCTCAAATCTTCCACTGTAATAAGTCCTCCATTGTTATTATCTTTTTACGGCATTTAGCTTAACTCTTCTACATTCCTTTTTTTGTGTCGCTGTTTTGGGGTGTCCAGCTACTAACAGCCTTTGCAGGAAAACAAAGAAAGGGAAGTACGGAACATTAGATATGGTTTTTAACAAGATAAAATTTTCTTTTCGCCAATGACGTTTTTTTTTTCATTGAACAGTGACTCCCCATGGATTTTTGGCATCATATATGTAGAAATTTTCGCAGTGTTTAACAAAGGGAAATCGTCTTATGTTTATTACGCTACAGTCAAGAAGACTCAGGCTGCGGGCTTTTTAAGATAAAAGTAATTACAATAAAAGTAATTACAACTTAGAACAACCCGGTTGCGGAATGTGTGTTTTAAAAATAAGTTATTTTGATTTAGGTGGGTTACTTTCAAATTTTTAGCTTTCATAACCTTAATTATCCATATTCACTAACACTAAAACGACTAAGTTAACTGAAAAGTAACACGCTCAATTTAAATGGTATCTAACACTGAAATTTTTGCTCTTTTGAATGAACAATGAAGGGTAATGAAGGATACTTGATCAACTTGAAAAGGTGGCGCTGTTGTAATGAAAAGAAACGCATGAAAATTAATCATTCAACAGCAGCAATTAATAAAGGACATAAAGCCTCAATGATTAAACTACGTTTATCATAGATTTAAATTAATGATAATTAAAAAATTATAATAAAACAATAGAAATAAATATACAATACTTAATAGCGGAAGCCACATCAGCCTTGGCCAGTTTTCATGCAGGTCCTCTGTTGTGATCGAATTAGCATTTGGAGATGTTGGTTTTTGTGGAGGGAGGAAAACCGGAGAACACGGAGAAAAACCCTCAGGGCAAGCTGAGAACTGACAACAAACTCAACCCACATATTTGAACAAAGAGTTGGAATGTAAAGCCATCTAAATCATCAACCATGTGCTTGTTGCACCCCGCACGATGAAAAATTTAATCAAAGAAAAAAAGTAGAATTAAAAACAGATACCTGGCGATTCCGTATGTTTTGCTTTCTTTTCTCCTCTCAACTTTCTTTCTTTCACTTTCAAGTGGAAGGGACTTCCCTTGATCGCTTCGCCTGCCACTGTTATGACAACATTGAACTCTCCTGCAGCTTCAGGTCTGTATGATACTTTATAGCAGCCATCTTTTGAGTCTGTTATGGTGGCCTCCAAGGTTTTTCTCGTCTGGAGAGACTGGATGCAAACTTCAACCATGTCAATTTCACTGTAGGTTTTAATTCCCTGTGAATCCTTTGTAATCACTGTAAAAGTGCAATCTTCGCCTTGTACGGCACCCTCTGTCAGGGCCATGCTATCCACCATGGTTGACGAAGGTTCAGTGTTTGTCGTGAGTAACTTCCCCGGTGAATCTTTCAGGGACGACAAGTCATTTGAAACGTATTTGACGGTGGAATAATTTGCCTTCAAGTTAAATGCACAAGGCTCCATAAGTTCCTGAAACCTTTGTTCAAGCACTTCTTCCACGTTTAGAATCTCTGGTAAATTATTTCGTTGAAGTATTTCGTTGCCAAAGTCCAAGCTGCTCTCTATTTCAACCAGTTTTTCGTCCAGGCTGGTCATTGTGTTTGAAAATGCAGCATCGAAAGTTTCTTTCTGCTTCATTAGTCGATCGGTCATGCTTGCTTCATGCTGGCGAATCAATTCTATGTTCCTTTCCACCGTTCTGTGTATTTCTTGTGTCGCTTGTTCGACGCTTTTGTTCATTCTTATTCTTTGCTTTTCGAGGAATTCTTTTTCGCTCTTCAAACGAGGAACATTTGCCTGGACTTCTTGCATCTTATTCTCAATTTCTGATTTCTTCTTTTGTAATCCGTTGTCAAGCGAAACGATGTTGTGGTCTCGATGATCCAATATGGCGCAGTCACGGCAAATACATATCACGCATTGTTCACAATAAAATCGCACTTCATCGTTGTGTTTCTTGCAAACATTTGCTCTCCTGGCGTAATCTCGGGCATCGCTAGGCTTGAATTTCCCAATTTCTTTAACCTGATGACCACTAAGAGCTTTCATTTTTCTGTGAGCCCTAGCGCAGTCTTCACACAGGAAGTGATTGCAATCAGCACAATAGTACTTCAACGACTTTCTTACGTCGCAGTTTCCACAGTGTGGTGAATCTTCCTGGCCTAGTCCGCTGTAAGCCTTAACAATGTCCACCATCTGCTTGTAAAACAGGTTGGATGGAAGGCTGCTGATGTTGTTGCTCGGGCATTCGGTGATCTGACGGCAGGTTGGACAACTCAACGCTTCTCCACCCTGCTGTCGCAGCCAAGCTTCCAGACAGGATTTGCAGAAAGTGTGAAGACATTTCAGTATTTTCGGTTCGTTGCTTTCACTAAACTGCTCCTTGCACACTGAACATTCTAATTCCCTCTTAACTTCGTCGAAAAAGCTCCTACTTTGAGCCATCACGCGAAGACGCCAAAATCCCCGAGTGTTACTGGTGAGCAGGTCTCACGCATGACGGAGAATTAATCGGAGTGGCCCTGGAGACCGGAAGCTAATTCGCGTGCTTCTTTGTAGCTTGTTATTCTTTCTTTTTGATCTGCTTTCCCCATGATTCTACAGGCCCCAACTTTTCAAAATATATCAGCAGGTGAAAGCAAAGAGCTAAAAGTTTAATTGGCTAGAATGTGCGCAATTTAGTAACGATCTTTCATTTGAAATGCTTAAAATTATTTGCATTGCGGTTAATTCCTGGAAATCCAGTGACTTCCGGTTTCGTTTTCTCAGAATCGTGACCGAGAAAATGTCACAGCACAGTTGAACTCCCGGTATATAGTGAGTCTTTTCGTTCAGGTAGAAGAAAACAAATGTACGTCGGGTCAGGTTGGCATAAGTGTGAGTTTGGCATTTGATCAGGCGACAGCAAAACCGGGCAATCTACCTCAGTGTTCATTTTCAACTGACTATGGAGATCTCAGGATCGTAGATGCTGTAGCTAACACATTCGCCGATCCTGAATTTAAGAAATAACACAACTGAAAATGTTTGTTACCAGCTTGCTTCTTTTCGTGTAACACTGCATATGCTGCTTTTCACACTTTTCCGGTGGATAAACAGTCAAATCCCGATTACTTGAACCTTCAGGTTCTAACCGAGCCTGAAAACCCTGTTTCCGGTTAGCACTCGATAAATGGAAATAACACGATATAAATTTAAAAAGTATGTACCCGCAGTCTGCCTTTAACCCACGACCTGCAGTCTGCGTTTTACACTGACCGATTTGTCGGTGTTGTAAGTCGGCTAATGACTCGGCGTACAGGCTCAGGTACCTGAAATTCAATTGTCACATATGATGTGCTGGATGTCTCGGTTTAGTGCCACTGTGAGGTTGAAAATCGTCTGTTTTACCTAAATTTGTCAATTTCATTTATTAAGCAGACCCATTTTACCTACCCAAGCATTTCTTATCAACGGGATCAATCTATTCCCCAC